TATAAGTAATTAGTTACTTTTTTTTAGTACGATCTTTATCAAAGAATGAAATATTTGTAAAACACTTCTAAATAGTTTTAAGGATGTTGATATACGTGTATAAGATTAAGTTTTTCTTATTTTTTATTTTTATACTTTAACTTATATAACTTTTAATGTTATCTTCTATTAATATAAAAACTTAGATGAGATTAATCAATGATATAAATATCAAATAGATAACAAGAAAGCTTTTCTTTCTCAATATTCTTATTCTTATTCTTATTCACACATTCTATTCCAATGACATTTATAAAGATAAAATTAAGAAATAATAACAATTATGTGTGCAATTATTTTGTTGAAATGTCTTAATATAATTACTCTTCAAAATATTTAGTATTCCTAAACCAAATTCTAAGAACACTTTCTAAGATCCTTAGAAAGAGTCCTTCAAATACTATAATCATAGCTTTGTAATAACCAATTTCAAAGAAGACTGGTTCTATCAATGTAGCTGAAACGTGAAGCAATAATGTGCACCCTTGAAACAATTGGAAATTCAGACTGCTAGATCCACGTTTTGCTGACTCACACAATACTCTGTTTGGACAGACACGTGGCAGTGAAATCGAAGCCATTTCAGTGTTGTTGATGAGTGATGAAGCATGCACGCACTTAACTTGTACTAGAACAACTTTCCTTAAAGAAGCAACAGCTAGGGGACCACACTACCAAAACACAAGCCTGTCTCCTGTGTCATACTAACGTATGCAATCTTGGGTCTTTCCAACCAATCATTACTTCACTGTGTACTACTAATAAGCTATGCTATGGTAAATAAATAAATAACATTATTTCTTAACTTTTGAACATATGACCACACATGTTTAGTAAATAACATTATTTTTTAAACTTCATATGATCAGATATTTAAACTTAATTAGGATACTTTTTTATTTGAAAGAATTATAATAATGCTAATATGGTTTGAATCTAAAGAATTATAAATAATATAACTTTTATATTAATTATCTTAAGAATGATATTGATATCAATAATGTTTAATAGTTGTTAAACTCATTAAAAAAACTTAACTAATTACATTAAATGTGTGAAAATCTCGAGGTCTTAATATTTGTAAATGTGTAAGTGGGTTGGATTGGGTTGGGTTTAGATAAATTTTTTATTTGACTCAACCAAAATTTAACGAGTTGGATTGGGTCAGATTTGTATATATTTTTTTTAAAAGTCCAATCCAACTAAATCTAATCATAAACAGGTTGAGTTGGGTTGGATTAATTAAATTAATATAATTATATTTATTTATTGATTTGTAAAAAATTAAATATTTTAAAATAAATGTAAATTATTTAATACATTGTTGCAAATTCAATGTTATCAACTTATAGAACAAATATTGATACAAATTAAATTATAAAATAAATTTATTAATTTGTTATATTATTATTAACTCAAAAAACCGATATTAATTAATACAAAATAAAATTTAAAATAATATATTATATTATTACAATGCTATTAATCTAAAATATAAAATTTGTTATTAAAAAAGAGTAATAGTAAGTATTATTCTAAAAATATAAATTCAAATATTATTATTATTATTATTATTATTATTATATATAATTGGATTGAGTCGGGTCGATAACAAGTTGAAAATACAAAACTCAACCTATATAATAACGTACGAATTTTGATCGAGTTGGATTAAATCCGACTTAAACATTAAAAAAATTCAATCTGAACTTATTAGATTGATTTGTATCCGTTCGGATTTAGGCATGGCAATCTAACCCGTCCCCGTGGGTACCCGCCCGAACCCGCCCCGATTTGGACGGGGAAAACCCGTGTTTATCGGGTTCGGGTTCGGGTTCGGGTTTTCCCCGATTGATAAAATCGGGGGCGGGGACGGGGATGTTAATACCCACCCCGCCCCGCCCCCGCCCCGCCCCGCTTAATAATATAATTAAAAAATTATTT